TATGTTCACTCACACATATGGTTGGTAAGGTTCCCCCAAAAAGAGTTTTCTCTTTTGCAAGGTTTTTTGGGTGTTAACAAAAAAGAGAGAAAGGGTATTGATATTTTTGTGAGTGTGTGTGTGTGTAAGTGTGTGTGAGTGTGTGTGAGACAAGGGATAAAGAAGAGAAAGAGAGGGTATGACGTGCGGGAGAGAAATGTATAAGAGATGGGCGCGCACACACACACACACACACACACACACACGTTCCCCGAAAGTCCGTAACCGCGTCTCTTTCTCACGATATTACCTGCGCTTCCCCCTCCACTCCAGCCTTGGTATCATCACATATCATCACCGCCCCAGCATCTTCCACCAGGCCGGAACACCTGGCCACCACCCAACCCGCATCAGCGCGTGGACATCTCCAACTTCGGCCAAACCCTTTGGTTGGCGGTCGTTGCACAACTCCCACCCCCAGTCCAGTTGGCAAACCCCAGCAGCAACCGCCCGCCTTACAATTTCTTTCACTGCCGGGGATGTCCCACAATGCGTCTAATCTCCAAGCGCTCACGAACCTACCATTTACTTCCCTCTCACCAGCCTGACGTTTCCTCGTCGTCGTTGAAACAAGCGCCGAAGCGTTCTCATTGGTCCGCAACCTACCCCTGCCAAGACCGACTTCGTAGCCGCTGGCACCAATCGCTTGGGAATTCCACCCCCCGCCCCCCTGTTGAGCCTCACTTTTCTCTGAACACTTCATCTCTGCCGACTGGAGTGTTCTCAAATCATTCCGAGTGGGTTATAAAGAGGAAACAAAAACCCCTCATTTTTCACACAGCATCTGTGCACAATCCTTTGCTGGATGAGCTAGCTACTATACATAACCCTCCTTTGTGTATGACCAAGATAACATTCCTAACCCTCACCACCTACACATGCACCACCTACACATGCACCAGAATTCCAGTAATCCTAACCCCTCTCATGAAGTAGTAGCTGCCTCGATTTTAATACACCCTGCTTCACAACGTCACCTCATGAACACACAAGTCACAACTTCAATCCTTTGCCATGTTCAAAGACTTCTTTTGCACTGTCCATAACACATGCATCCAAACTTATATACCCATCCCCCACCCCAACTTCCTGCCGACACCCCTCCTACCCGAATCGTATACACCAATAACGATACTGAATCCAGATCATGACCGCATTTCCCCCTCTCTTCCCTCCATCTCTCTCTCGATATATACATACATCTCTTCCAATGCAAAAAAGCTCTACTCCCACCAAACCACCCCGGGTATCTTATGCTGAATCGACTGAAACTGGAAATATGCTCCCCCCTCCTCCCCAAAGCCCCAATACACTCATAATGTGTATACTAAACAATGCTCATTCCAACACAACCAAGTGTTTCAATGTCCATCATCCCCCGAAATCCGCACAATCGTCGGACCCGGCGACTTCTCCGGTGATGTACACGGCGAAGGAAGCGACTGCACCGCATTGTCCGACTCGCTCTGAGCAACCTCAGAACTGCCCGCAGTAGAAGGTTTCTCCGCCATTCGAGCCACCATCACCCTCTCAACCTGCTGAATCTTGCTGACGTGCCCCCCCGCCCCCCCCCTTAACCGTCTCCTCAGACAAAACCCGGTTACCATACCCGTTAATCTCCACACCCTCCACCTCATCAACATTCGTAGCCACCAACCCCGCCATCTCCTCCCACTCCTCCCTCCTGAGCTGCTCTTCCACTGCATCCTCAACACCTGTCTCCATCGTACCCTCCCTCCTCCCCCGACCATCATCCCCCAAACACCCCGTCCAGGCTTCCCGAAACTTCAGCCCCAACGCCACCGCCATGTGCCTCGACACACTATTCCCCACCAACTTCCACTTATCCGACTGCCTCCCCAGCAGCACCTCCTCCTCCGAAAACCCCTGCGCCCTTCGAGCCTCTGCCAAGGTAAAGGGCCTGCTCTCCCTCCAATGCAAGCCGTTCGCGGTCCTCGCGTCCCGAGGGTCCAACGCCGTCGTGATGGTAGGGAACGCAAGGTTCGGCGTAAGTCTTGACCACCCCTGTGCGGTGCTGGCAACCCGACCGCGCATCGTGCCCTCACCACTGGGGAACAGCTCCCTGTCCGCCGCCGTCATCACCCCCTTTCCGCCATTCCACGTCTTGACGAAATTCATGCCGTGGGGGAAAATGGGAATTACAGCCACCTGCTGTCGAATAGCTCCGGTGAAGCCTATAGTTAGACGGTGCTCCGGGTGAGATACGCAAGCATCCACCATGCCATCGATAATGTCGGGCAGATCTGCCGTTGCCTCGGACGAGCTGGTGTACTTGAACGGCGTGGGAATATCAAGAAATCGCCGGACATAAGCCTCGCCATTGCACAGTTTCCCAATACCCCGCTGTTTTGTCCCCGGATAGTGGGAATGTGAGGGTGCGGGTGCTTCAGGCAAGCGCACGTCGGGGGTTGCAATGAGGAGAAACACCCGGTTACGCGACTGGGGCGCACCGTGGGTCCAGGCATCCCCATTCACCAGCTGAGCTTGGTAACCCAGGCCGATGACAGCACAGAACAGCTGGGACAGCGTGTCTTGGCTTCGGTTTTGGTGTGCTTGGACGATCGAGGCGACGTTTTCGAGAACAGCGTACTTTGGGCGATAAAAGTCGATAAAGGCCGCAAAGGACGCCACCATGGACTGGTTCTTTGTTTGCTTGAGGTCCTTCTTGTCTATGGTCAACAGTGAGAACCCAGGGCAGGGGCTGCCCGCTGAGATGACTTCCACATCGCCTGGTCGAGGAACATTATCCGAGAACTTTCCCTCCAGAGCTAGCCGTAGAAGGTCATCCACCGAGCCATAGAAAGGATGCACGATGTCTTGGTCAGGGGCGTTGGCCATATAGGTATGGATAGCCTTGTCCCAAGTATCGGCAGCCCAACGCATTTCAATGGCGCCACCATCCTCAAGACCTCGTCCCAGGTTACCACTCCCACAGAACAAGTCCATTCCCCGCAGCTTGCGGGCATTGCCTGCCCTTGGATCAAATCCCTGACGCAGGGTCAAAGGCATGTTGCCAAGAGGAACAACCTTTTGTCGAGTGCCGTCAAGTTGGTGGGTGATATAGAAGAGATTCCCAGTTCCGCCGCGATTGTATGGGCTTGGAATAGGTGAATCAGCCTCGAAGACGCGCACTTGACATCTCCCTGTGATTCTGTCAGGCTTCATCACCACAAACTTGTCCGTATAGACGAGCTCGTTGGCGGCGGCGTTCTTGACCACAGAATCGACCTCCCCGCGCCTGAGGAGCCTCCGGAGCCGCACGAATATGGTGTTGCCTTGCTTGAACACCTTGACAATCTCACAAGGCTCCGTATATTTGTCCGACAAGTTCAACAGTACCAGGACTGTGTCGCCCGATTTGTAACCGAGCTTCTCCGACACATGAGAGCATCTGATGTGCGACTCTTGCAGTGATACCCAACGTCGGTGTTCCACAATGTAAGTGTGCCGGACAAAAAAGTCGTCGCCGCTGGTCTCTGGGCTGCCGAACCAGTTGGCTTTGTGGACAGCCATGACCTCGTGCTCTTTAACCCTGGCATGCTTGCCCTCCTCACATGTACAATGATCGCTCAGGAATAGCTCGTTCGGCCAAGGGTATCGCATCAAACAACACGGCGTCTCTGCAGGTCGGTATAGCCACGTGACATCGAAGCTTCGGGCGCCATCTTTGGCTTTGTGAACCTTTTGGACCAGACCGAACCAGCGCGAGTCGGTCACCCCCTCTTCCTTCTTCCACTTGGTGTTTGTGCTTTCATCGTCGTGTGGAGTAGAGATGGTGTCGCCAACTTGGATTGCATCAGTAACGTCGAGAGGTAAAAATTGTGTGGTCCCTCGGCGCCTCCCAGGAACATTGCACTCCATCTTGATCTGAACATCTGGTGTCGCTTCCCGGGCCGGCACTGGTGTTCGAAGCCCTCCATCTGGACTTGACACCACATGGAATACCTTCCCAAGAACCATATGTCCAAACAACTCATTGATATACGGCGTTACGATGGTCGGAGCCACCTCAACATCCTGCTTCATCGGCCTGCCCTCCAGAAGCTTCGGGAGCTCCGGCACAGCTTTGGTAGACTCGTAGATATCGAGATTCATCGCCTCCCGAAATAGCCTCATCGAGCCGGCCTTCTTTTCCCCATGGACCCCAAAGACTTCTTTCCAAATAAAGTCGATGTTGTTGGCGACTGCAACCCTGAAGTCAATCCTAGGATACTGTCGCCGCCACTTTCGGAAAGCGGCAGATCCGCCATGGGTGCTCTCAAGCCACTCAGAGAAAGAATTCTTGAAGACTTCGAGACAAAGACTGCGGTTTTCCTGGAGCAAGTAACCAGCATAGTCGACGACGTGCTTGGCGAGATCCATGGCCCATACAAACGGTTCGTAAAACCTTTTGTATTCAACCGTTGGCCTCCGCAGTCGATAGTAGACCTCATTTCTCGAATTAAAGACCGAACGAACCCAGACTTCGCCATCCACGCTCGGGTGCTCAACCCCATAGTTGCCGATGGGAAGTTCAGCCACCTCGACTTTCTGAACAAAGTACTTGTGACCCTTCCAGCTGAGCACACCGTCAAAGTAGTACCGGTCGGTGGGCTTCCTCATGCCTATGTGCTGCAATGACCTCATTTCCAAAGGATAGTGTTTCGTATCCAGATAGAACGAGAACCGGTCCAAGTCAAATTCCATGAAATCGCCATCCATGGCGCCATGGGCCTCCTTCAGGGCCTGCACCGCAATGCGCTCCTTAACCACGGGGAAGGGAGGTACAAATCCATCGTGCTGGGATCTTGGCGTAACAAGTGTCGAAACAGGTATCTCGACAGAAAGTTGCTGGTTTGGAGGGACTGGGCTAGGCAAACAAGGTGCTGGCGTCTCATTGAGGGTTTCTGGTGCCTCCTCGAGAATTTCTGATGTCTGGGCGATGACTGCCTGGGCGACAACCGCCATTTCCAAACTGACGAGTTCGGGCTCTGGAGACTGTGATGAGCATGATCCCTGAAGTTCTGGCAATGATACTGGCGGCAGGCAAGGTGCATCTGGGAGGATTGCGCGGCAGTTGTCTGGCAATATTGGGGGCATTGACCAGGACGAGTCTTCTGGCCCTGGCAGGAACACTGGCGGCAGGGAAGGTGCGTCTGGGAAAATCGCATGACATTGTGCTGGCAGGACTGGCGGTGATGATGGTGGTAATGAGTCGACTACTGGTGACGGCTCATCCTGGTTCTGAAGGAGAGGCAGATGATCCAGAGATGCTGGGAGCAACGGCCGTAGTTGGTCCAAGATGGCAGCTTCCGTTTTATCATGCGTTGGGATGAGCTCATTGAACTCGAGGTCATGTCCCGTGGAGGGCCACGAATCCAGCACCCTCATCATCCCGAGATGGTAAGTGTGCCAGAAAGAAGCCGAGAGAAGCGATGGATCCTTGAGACAGGCGACATGAGAACCGTCCGGGTCGGAGATGGTCTTCGAAAGCGAAAAAGTCGTCCAAAATCCTCGGCCGGGGATCCTCTCTCCCGAAGAAGAGCAGACAGTGACAAAGTCGGGAGTGGGTGTACGGGTATGCGTACCAAACAATTAGCAATAATCCGCCCAGGCAGAGAAAATAAAGATAGAAAAGTTGAAGCAGAAACCCTTCCAGACCAAAAGAAAAGATGGCTTCACAAAAAGCAGAGAGCAACAAGATAGGGAGATGTCTCAATCTGGAAGTCGCGTGGTACCTCGTGGTTGTGCTCCGGGGTTAGTCGCGCTGAGAAAAACAAGCCATCGGCCAATCAGATGAGCCCATGCAGACTCATGCAGACCCACACTTCTTCGAGAGCAACAAGAAGTCAACAACGAGAGACAGTTGTAGTGAGACTTGAGAGGCATTCACATTTCTGTATTTCTTTATTTTTACGCATAGTACCTATCTCAACTAATCATCATCAAAAGCCTGCTCAGAAGAAGCACGAGCAATCCGATCGGCCCAGCGTGCAGCCAGAGTCGAGTCAATAACATCATCCTTCCCATATCCCCTATATGCGCTGGGCCAGGCCCATGTACAACCATGGTGCTCAACTAGATGCTCCAGTCGCTTCCGAACGCGCTCCATCTCTGCCTCTTCCACCAGGTCCTTCCCTATCCGAGCAAAGTACGCAATGGTGTGCATCATTTGCTGGTGGGCATGTTGCTTTGGCTCTTTGATCTCCTCGGAGAAGTAGTCCGACATCCACCCGTCCAGGACCCAGTCCATGATATGCACCATCTCCTTTCCATCCCCGCAGCAAGCCATCGCTTTCATGTAGCGATACACTGTCAACGCGCTCATGTGGTATCGTGTCATGTCTTGGGGGAACAGCCGAGTGCCCGCTTCAACCGGACTAGAGAGGTTGACAAAAGATTGCACCGCCCGCAAACGTGCTCGAGCAAGCAGGTTAGCCAGCCGTTTCTTCCGTGGTATGGGTCGCCGCTCTGTGAGGGAATGTTGAAATGTTGCCATTTTCAACGTCTTTCGAATCATGTAACACAGCGCCAAGAACGCAACGGTGTCATCACCCTGGATATGCAGCGTTCGCTCATAGATCCTTAGAAACGCATCCATCGTCAGCACAAGGTGGTCCATCCCGTGACCTCTCGGGTTGTGCAAAAGAGCCTTTTTCGAAAGCGCCGTCAGAATTGTGTGCCATGGCTTCCTGTCGTTCCGCGAAAGTACCGGTCGAGCCGCCTGGCAGAGATGGGCGAGCAAGATGGCCTCAGCCACCGGCCCACATCCGAAGTCGCGTGTGAAGAGCGTCGTATGTCTTGTATAAGAAGCACTATCGACATGGACCCGACACAGCATAGCAACCCAGGCATTGACGAGCTGAAAGTCTAGAGCTCCGAGAGCAGCTTTGCCTTCCTGGGTGTCCCACCGCCTGAAATCAGACAGGATATCTCCAGCAAAGTGGAACGGGCTATCTCGAACATAGTTCAGGGCTTCCTGTTTCGAAGGTGCGTTTGTCAAGAGAATGTCAAGATAGTGCCCAACCGGTTTGAGCCCTTGTGAGAGCAACGTGTGATATAGCTCATCTGGAGCCGGAGGGGTGATTCTGGTAATCTCGAGAGCAGTCAGATTCCCGTTATGGATCGGAAACGTTTCTTTGACGTCCCCTGGCCGGAGTCTTTTGACAGATGGCGCTTTATGGGCATAGAGCTTGGCCATCATCTGACCAGCAACTTGGGCGTCTGGTTGCATTGCGGGAAGAGGAGGTCTCTGGAACAATCGCCAAGCTTCCCGGGCGTTCCTAGTTGCTTTGATTTGCAAGGCCCAGTTCCGGTGCAGGTTGAGGGCGGCATGCTCACCTGACACTGTTGGAAGTGGCACGCTTCTTGTTTGAATGGACGGTGGCTGGCCAAAAGTCGACCCTGCCAACACTGAGATGCCCTGGTCGATCACATTGGTAGGGTAGCCAGCCTCGCGAGCAAGGAGGCCCGCCATGGAGCTCCGGCTCAAATCCTCTTCGGGGTCACGGCGCTCGTCAACCCCGTCGACGGCTTGCCGATAAGGAGGCCATGTTGCTGCGATTCGCTCTGCGTTCTTGATCTCGCCCTTGCTTTTCGGAAGAGCAGCCAAGACCGCTTGTATAGCACTGTAGCTCTCCTTGTCGGGAACTAGGGGAGGGTCGAACGATGATGCAATGCTAAGGACAAGTCGTTGGGCGGCCCAGTTGTAGGGCATATTGGCAAGTGGACGCATCCTCGACGGCCAGCTAAAGTATTGGAGAGCTTTGTTGAAGACAAAGGATCGGACTGCATGGCTGCTATGTCCCTTGGAAGGGTCATCAGATATAGTGTTGATGTAGTCGACGACCAACTGCGCGATTGCCGTGACTGCTGATGGCCATGAATCCCGTGTATGCCAAACAAGGCGATGTAGCACTCCGTTGAAGTGCCACCACGTCATATCCCGACCCCTCGACTGCGGCAGCAAATGCCTATCTTCACTTTCAGGCCGATGTCGGTGAACGTAATTGTCCGAGAGATACTGGACCAGGTCCATGAAGCTTTTGGGATTGGCAAAGAGCCGGTCCGTGGCGAACATGGCCTGTAGCAGGAAGAATGGCTTGCGGCAGCTGCTCCTAAGAAATCTTTCAACTCGCAAGTCGGCATTATGGCAGGAAAGAATCCATAACCAGGTGGCAATGTCCTGCTCCGTGATCCCTTTGGAAGACTCTAGCTGTTTTATTCGCGCGTTCCAGGCCACTGTGTCCTCGAGATAGCGAGCTAATGGGATGTGTTTGCGTGCCCGGGCACGCATGTATGCGTCTCGCCGGAGCAGTAGTTGGGCTGTCAGGACAGGGAGGCGGGATGATGTGTTGCAGGCTACACCGCGAGCAAGAGGCCATTCACTGATGGTCCACTGATCGCTCGGGAAGCGCATGAGGGCAGCCAGCGTCATGGCGGGCGCAGCCCAGTCGAAGTCCTTGTGGTATGACGGGGTATACTGAAATGCCTCCCCCTTCCACGCATCGCCCCCCACAGGTCTTGCCCAGCCCCAGGTGAGGGCCAAGGAAGGTCCTGCACGATCCATCCACAGCTCATCGTCCTGCTCTTGTGCTGACAGATGATCCCAGAAGTTGGAGTACTTTTTGGGGAGGCAATCGACCCGTCGTGGGAGTTCTGAAACCTGCTTTTCTTCTTCTTCTACTACTACTTCTTCTTCTTCTGCGAACTCTGTCTCCAATGTCCTCATCGGTTCCGAGAACCTTTGCGGGAGTGGGGCATCTTGGCCGCTGCCAAACGTGCTGAAGTGTGTGCCATTGTTCAGTAAACAAATGGATGCTCTGGTAAACGATGCTTGGTTTAAATACTGTCGGGGGTGCCCGTGAAGGCGCTGAGCAGAGGGAGTTAGCAATAGCAGTTCATGTTATGTAGAAATATCATTTCGACAGTACCAGCAAGAGATGTCCTCTGTTCTTTGCACCACCCCTCAAGGCGATGATTCTCGCGCCAAGCATTGGTACAGGCAATGGCCGGTCATCGTGGCAGCTACGGCTCACTATTGTTCGTCGGGCACTGTCATGTGGTCGAGAAAGAGAAACGTCGAGAGGAGTTATTGTTGCTATCGATCTCCCACGTTGAGGTTCAAAAATTGAAGATTCAGAAGCTTGGACATCCATCCATCCAGTCGCCAAGCTCCACCTGCACCCCACCACCAGGACCAGGGGCATCTCTTGGCATCTCCCATCGCTCGCAGTCCCCACAGCTAATCCCTGCTCAAGCTTCGGTTTCGAAGCTCCAGCCTCGTCGCGACTTGCGCCTGCTTCCCAACTGCTCAGGGGCATCACGAGCAGGCAAGATGCCCGGACTTGTTAGGAAGAAACGGATCAGCGACGAACCAGATACACAAGATGCTCCCGCTACGACATCCACTTTACCAGGTGCTCCTTCACGAAGAGCAACTCGTCAATCCTCGACCGCCCCGCTACCGACACCAGAAGATCCCGAGCCACGACGCCGTCGCCGCCGCGTCGAAAGCGAAGCGGAGGAAGAGCTACCCGTGACATTGCCACTTCGCAAATCCCGAGCACTTCAAGGCAAGGAGAATGTGCCTCTGACCACGGGGGAAAACTTACCAAAAGCCACGCGCTCCACACGGCATAGCGGCGGACTTGAGACTGGGGTTGCTGAAAACCTTACACCATCGGTGCCCTCTCAGCCTGCTCCAGCGTCACTACCTGTCCCCACGGTCCCTCATCGCTCGCCTGTCGCCCCTCGTCCGGTTGGCAGACCACCAGGTCGACCCTCAGGCCACGCACAGACAGTGCCTCCAAATCAATCCGTTACCGTGGGACGAAACAAGCCCATCACCATGGCTACGTCAGGCTCGCAACCAGGCCATCCGGCGTCGAAAACCGACTCCGTAACGGCGACGAAGACGTCCGATCGAAAGAGTGCCATCAAGAATACACAGACCGACCGAAACATAGACAAGGTCGTCCTTGGAGACCTCTGTTTCAAGACTTGGTACCCTTCCTACTTTGGCAAAGAAGTCCTGGACAATGGCCCCGGCACGCTCGACCGTCTCTATGTCTGCGATTGTTGCTTCAAGTACTCCAAAGAGCTAGTCGCTTGGTGGCAGCACGTTCAACTCTGTCGGGCAAAGAACTTTATTCCAGGTTCAAAGATATACACCCACCCCAAAGGCCAGCGAACCGTTCTCAAGGCATGTGGTCCACCGCCCAAATCCGGCAGAGGTAGGAAGAGCAATGCCAGTCAAAAGATGGTAGAGGAGTTGGTTCAAGACCAAGGGGAGTGGAGCATCTGGGAGGTTGACGGCGAGGTCGATGTGGTAAGTTGTCTTGGGCTGGTGTTCGTCATGACATAAAACTAATTATTCTGGACAGCTGTTCTGCCAGAATCTCTCTCTGTTTGCCAAACTCTTCTTGGACAATAAGTCTGTCTTTTTTGACGTCACCGGCTTCAAGTATTTTCTGCTCGTCTACACAACCCCGGCTGTTCCAGCACCGTCTTTGCCAACACCGCCAGAACACCCATCATCCTCATCCGGCTCCGGCAACGCTCCTCGCCAACCACGTAGCCAGGTAGTCGGGTTCTTCTCGAAAGAGAAGATGTCCTGGGACAACAACAACCTGGCATGCATCCTCGTCTTTCCACCATGGCAGCGCAAAGGCCTGGGATCATTGCTGATGGGCGTAAGCTACGAGATCTCCAAACGGGAAGGAGTGCTAGGTGGACCTGAGAAGCCCATTAGCGAATTGGGCAAAAAGGGGTACAAGAGGTTTTGGGGCAATGAGATCGCGATGTGGCTTCTGAGTATCCCACCGACGAGCTCGGGTGCCATAGAGGATGGACAAGAAGTGGCGACAGTTGATGTTTACGACTGCAGCAAGGCCACTTGGATAGTTCCTGAGGATTGCTTGATGGTGTTGAGAGACATGGGAGTTGTGGAGGATGCAGGGGTTGGGCCGGTGGTGAAGCATTCTGCGCTTGGTACACCCGCGGAACTGGAAGGTTTGACCGGTGCGCCAGTGCCAGCTCCTGATGGTGTTGCCAACAATGAGAAAGAGGGCACGCCACAGCAGGAAGAGCCAGTGGCTCATCAGCGGCGGGTCATGATCCGGCACGAGGCAGTGATGGAGTGGGTGAAGAAGAACAGGATCAGCTTGAAAAAGCCATGTGATCCAAACGGTTTTGTGGAGGGCTATGCCATGAAGAAGGAGAATGATTCTGCGGCGGCAGAGGAGTCGGGGTAGCATTGATATCCATCATCATTCAGGGAGCATTCGAATTTGGGTTGGGTCAGGAGTTATGGGAATATGATACCAACGGACGGATGAGTGGGATGGGCTTCATGGATTAGGTTAACAGTACTGGGCTATTAACGAGCGATTCAGGGTTTACAGGACGTGGATGGCAAAAAAAAACAATGGATCTTTTGTGTACATACATTGGAGGCTTCAAGTCGCTGGCCAAAATTGATCAAGGTTCCTAAAATCAACTCGAGATATGACTGACACTATCACAACAATAGGAAGCTCCGATAAGAAGAAGAAAAAAAATTAAATCAAAAGCAACGCTGTGGCAGATGTTGTGGACAAAGGGGGGATAGTGAATGGGGAAGATGTGGGTTGTTGCGCTGTCTGAATATTGTCGATACTTTGCTGTTGGCCACTTAACCAATGACGAAATCTATCCTCCCTTGGATTCTTAGGGTTTTGGTAGGTGTCTGATGACTAGACTTCTTTTGCTGATGTATATATCACGATATGGTTATCCTGTCTATTCCGTGTTATGCCGATTTAGTACCCCCCTTGGCCGATAGAATTTGACCATATAGAGAATGCTTACCTTATTTCTTGTTTATCTATGGATCTAAATCAGGTCTGTCGAGTTCAAATCCAACACCCAGATAGAGTAGACTTCTCGTAAAGACGCACATCTAGTCTTGATCATCGATGGCTAGTATACATGTAAGACTGGTACGGTCCTCTCACATAACCAGCCCCAACTTTCAACAGACAATCTCCCACTTCACCTCGCCCAAAACCGGAACAATCTCCTCATATAGTAACCCACTCTTCCCCCCCCCCAAAAAAAAACCCCCCAAAACCCCCATCCTAAACCCTCTTCTTCAGCAACAACAACCACCTACATCCTCCACCATCATCACAACAGGGGTCATTCTAAAACTAGCAAATTCTGTCCGGGAGCTACCTAGTCCAGGCATTCCCACACCGTTCCCCCATCACCACACCCTCCTCCCTCTGGGATATCTCCCCATCATATGTTCTTCTCTCTGGTCTCTTATCGGACCTCCGATGATGCTTGTGAGCAAGGCGCGCGCAAGCGAGCGAGAGAATCAAAGTACTCTGAAATAGTCTGCGCTCGCTGTCATGGCTGCCAAGGGAGGTGTGAGGTCCTGAGATGGCGTGGTCAGCACAGTATCGGTGTGGTCATGGTTCCGAGAGAGAGAAGAATGCAGCACGGTTGGAAGGTACTTAGGAAGGGAAAGGAAGGATACAGTACAAGAGATGTGGGCCAGAAGAGAAGAGCACAGTATGATGGAGGAGGAGGGAACCGAGGAAGGATAGAATCGTGCAGTTGTGCATTTGTCTAGAGGGCGGTAAAGCTAGCGTTGCGATGTAATCCGCTAGCGAGCGGAGGGAGCCAGTCAGGGACCTCTGGGAGCCGGGGGGTCGGAATGTGTACCTTCCTTGTGGAGGAGTGGTTGTTGTTGTTGTTGGCGCGTTGGTTGGTGGGAGTGGCGGCGTAGGAGTTGCTGGTGAGGGTGGGAGAGCGAGTATCTTGCTGTTCCAAGATGTTTGGGAGGTAACTTGGACTGCAAAGCGGCATGATGGGTACCTAGGTAGGGTGTAAATGAGCTTTGTCTATGGTGATGTTGAAGCCCAGATTTCAATATAACTTATCAGACAGCCCGAACTTACATTTTGTCGAGGATAAATACAGCAGTCACTTAGTCCAGATTTACGTTATACAGGACAGATACATCATCTAAACCATCACAGTGGAGTCCTGTCGTCCATTATCCAGTCCACATCCATCCACGGTCTACAACCCAAAAACCCCATCAATCTGACATCCGTACATCCAAAAGTCCAAGCCAGCCTCAACCTATGTCACTATCAATCCCTTAAACTATCTTCTCCCATCAACAACAACGACAGCCTCTAAATTCTTTCAAAATACAAACCAACTACAACAATAACCCACCTTTTCCCTCCTCGCCCTCTATCCCCTTTCAGCAAGAGACTTTTTTCCCCATTCCTTATTCTCCTACACAGATACCTAGCTGATCTATATCCAACCTAAAAGTCTCAAGCTCGAACCCATTGCTCATAATGTTACATAAGAGAATGGCAAACACCAGCCAGGAAGCTTTCAAGAGAGTGTCTCAAGCTGAGCTCCTTCAAGCTATGATTACCTGTCGTTACTTCGAAATTACCTAGTGAAAATTATGTTGCCTGGAGGAACAGTTCTCGATCATGTGTTTGGACATCAACTCCATCATCTTTCCTCATTCTCTTCAAAAGGGCAACTGCCCCCTGTCCAACATGACGTTGCCCCTGCTCAGGAGCTATGACCACATCAAAGAGGTTCATCACGATTCACAGGCTTCAAACTCGCAGGTTCAAACTCATCATTTCGTCTAATAAATAGACCATAAAGCTCAAGATCTCCATCCACGGCTTCAGTCCTCGATAAGTCTTTAATTACAAGACATCTCGGTCCTCGGTGAAGTACCAACCGCGACCTCTTCAGCCACCTCAGACATCCCGGTATCTCCCGGCCTACACCACCACCAAATCTCACAATGTGGCGCCGACAACAATGCGTCACTCTCAAATTACACCGGTCAGATATAAATACCCTCGTCACTCCCAGTCTCAACAATCACAGACTGCCTCTCATTATCACCACCAGCTTCGGCTCATGTGCAACACAATCATCATAAACATATTTAACCCGGCAGCGTTCCGGCCACCCGGGTAGCCCGATTCGGTATTTACCCAACCAATTTGGCAAAGCCTATTATGTTTCACCGCCGACTCACCTTTTTACCTCCATTCCGTCATGCTGCCTTACCGAGCAGATCGTTGGAAGCTTTCAAGGTTCGATCTGGGTCAAAAGTTTTGTGGTTCGACCAACCAGCGAAGCTTCCGACCCTCCCCCTTTTGCCAACACTGCCGCGCTCATCCGTTACACAACATTTGCGGCAACAGCGGTGTTTGTCGGAGTTGATCCCGTTGGGAAGATTCGAGAATTGACATTTTGGTGAGTTCCATTTAGAAATTGACAATCAGAGTCAAAACCAGTTCCTACCAGTTGAGCCCGATGGTTGAAAGCTTCCCAAGCTTCCTGGAGCTTCAAATGCCCCTCAGTTCGAAAAAAGAGGCATTTTTCACATCCTGTCGTCATGCCCGGCCCTGGTTCTGGTGGTGGAGTTAAAGTGGACGGCTATCGGCCCTCAACAAGTGAGGTTGCGGGAAATCGCCGCTAAGTGGGGGCCTCGTGGGGGCTTGCGATAGACCCTGGTCAGAAAACAGGAGCCGCGCCAACCTCAGACATCAAACCCCAAGCTGAAAATTTTCAGTGACACAAAAACCGAGAGCTTCGTTGGGTTCGAACAAAACCAAGCTTGTGCTGCCTTGTCCAGGTCCAAGGACCCAGCTTCCCAAGAGGTTCGTCGATGGCTCCCGTGCTCCGTAGAAAGCTGCCGGATCCATGAATCATGCCCCCTCCATCACCGAGCTTGTTGCTTTGCTCGAGCTGTGCTGCTGGCTCCTGGTTGCTGCTGCTGCTGCTGCTGTTCGTCCCTCCGTAAACCTCTTGTAGAATCCGGCTTTGCCCGGCGGAATTCCCTTTCGTCCCCTGGAAAAGCGGTGCAGCTGCTGGGCAAAGTGCCGCACAGCAAAATTTTCCCTCTGGCTCTCCTCGCAGACCTGGGAATTCCAACTTCTGACCCACTTTCAGAGCTCTCGGTGGAGCGATTTCCCTCGAATTGACCACTCACGTCGCCCATCATCGATGCTCGAGCCCGTTGCCCGGACCAGCCCGAGGTTCCGCTTTCCCCAGCTGACCACTTGTTCTTCCTCGCACTTTTCCCTTCCCTCCTCTTTTTCCCTCTCCCACTCAGCAGTCGAGCCTCACCTCCAAAGAGCATCTTCTCGATCCCCGTCTTTTGCATCACCTCTGCATACCCCCTTCTCATCAGACACAATGGCCTCCACCCGTGTTCTCGCCTCGAGACTGGCCTCTCAGATGGCCACCAAGGTCGCCCGCCCTGCCGTCCGCGTCCCTGCCCGCGCTTTCACTGGTGAGTAGAGTCGAACAAAATCTCAAAACCTCATGCCACACAAAAAAAAAAGAGACGAGCGAATTATTCAAGAAGTCGCCCATCGTCCCAAAAACAAAACCACCATGAAACCATCCGAGAGAGTGTTCGTTCGTTCGGTCTGACAATCTTTTTTCTTCGTGTGTGCAGCCGGTACCAAGGCCACCCCCCTCCAGGCCGTCAAGCGCCAGCAGATGTCCTCCATCATCACTGCCACCCGCCAGATCACCCAGAAGCGTGCCTACTCTTCTGAGATCGCCCAGGCCATGGTCGAGGTCTCCAAGAACTTGGGTATGGGTACTGCCGCCATTGGTCTTACCGGTGCCGGTATCGGTATCGGTCTCGTCTTCGCTGCCCTCCTCAACGGTGTTGCCCGCAACCCCGCCCTCCGTGGCCAGCTCTTCTCCTATGCCATTCTCGGTTTCGCTTTCGTCGAGGCCATTGGTCTTTTCGACCTGATGGTTGCCCTCATGGCCAAGTTCGTAAGTGTTTTGCTTCGGAGGTCCGGCAGAGTCAACGACCCCGCCTTGCTAACAAAATGCCTCAGACCTAAGCGGTTCACCACCACCGAGCGGGATAGGCGACGATGCCTCACTGGGAGCGATCGTCTGTACATATCAACAAGACGGGAGCGAGAGTGGGGGGAAGCGGCGTGTACGAGAGAGGGTAATAGTGTTTTGCGACATCTCCAAATCGCATTCGCTATTAGACATGGGCGGGGTGTGCATGGAATAATGGCATAGAATCGCACCATAGACGGGGCCCATATTAGACCTAGATCGGGGAAGACTTTCGAGGACGATCTGACCGTCGATGTCGGCTTTTGCCGGCACCTGTAAAATACTCAACCGCGATTCTCCCAGTTCTCTGGGGACACCACAAGAATATTTCATTTTGTCTCTGCCGTTTCAGCATCACCACTTCTTTTCCAGCGAGAGAATACACTTGTCAGACTTGTTGAGAGTGACTTGTGGCTCTGTTTGTGCTGTGTTTGCGAATGCCATCAGTTTTGATATCTCTCAGCACTTGATGAGATGATATGATATTGATAATCCCTCGTGTCTTGGCCAGCGGGTAAACAGGGGCTGAAGGCGGGGTATGTCCAATTGCCCAACACGAACAACATGCATTGTGCACTCACAATTCCAGCACACCAAAGGGAACGTGAAACGGGGGGCCACGTAGAAAACAAATCAATTGACCTGGCCATTGGGCAGTGCTCTCCCTTGCCAGCCCTCACTCGAGGTGAATGAGAAGAGTGTGACCGATGGGGAGTCCCGGTACCCTGATGCATACACTGGGGGTAGGTGAGCACCGGGAGCACCATCATCACGAACCGTCTCGGCGACGACGGGCACGGGATAAGGATCACGGGCAACGAACGGGCTACGGGGTACGGAGCTTGCGGCCGGACATACGGAGGGAGGCACCTAGTTTCTAGCGTTAGATCTTTGTTTTTGGAAAGCAAGGCACGGGGAGGACGGGGGGGAAGAGTAGATGGACTCCACTGTCAACAACAAGCCGGAATGTCTCCACCAGATAATGGGGCCGCTCCTTGTGTGTTGTGTGCTTAGCGTGCTCGGTGCTGTTGCAGTGCTAGCTGATAGCGGGACCCATCTTTTACATATATGCCGTGTAAGTGGTGATGGTTGATGTTGATGATATCGTGACGCTTTCCTTTTGGCAGAAATGAGAGAAAGAGGAAGAGAAAAGGGGACAGACGAGTGAGGAGAAGAGAAGGGAAATGGGAAAAAGGGAAGGGGTCAGTCGCCTCGACGTTCATTGGTGGCATGGGATGGGACACTCATGAGGGGAAAGGGGACACGGCCGTGCTTGCTTGCTTGCTGCCACCACAGAAAGAAGGAGGAAGCGGACGGGAAGTCCATCGTTGTTGTATGGCCACGTCTATGTAACATGCACCTGCCTTTTTTCCCTTTCGGCCAGAACACTGCATCATCATCTTGCATCTCATTCGTCTCCCTTGCTTCATCTCTCTCACCGAGAAAAGTATTCTTCCAGCAAAAGATATACAGATCAATACATCTGGTCGAGAGAGCGCTGAAAAGGAAAGGAAAGGAAAGGAAAGGACGGCATCCAGCGTATGCATCTCGTGTTACACAAGCTGGGTTCCCCGCTTTTGAACCAGATGTTCCCCAGGTTTTTTTTTTTTTGCCCAGATGTGTGATGGCGGTGGCGGCTGGGGAAGGTGAGACGGGATCGTCGAGAATATGTTTCTGGGGAAGCAAGGGAGAAAATACAATAGATTGTATCTGTGATGTGCTCGAATGATGAGGACAACGACCCTCCCAGATGGTTTTGACGTGAAGCATCAATGTTGAACTGTTGGATACCCTTGTGTCGAGTCTGTGGAAGACAGGGGCGTGGCAACTAATCTCCTGCTGCAGCCCGAACAGATGAATCGGGCGAGAATGGTAGGCTGCATAACAATGAACGACGCGTCCGAGAACATGGCACACAATGCATTCGAAAAGCCCAAGTGCTCATAACGGTCGTTCCTGTAATTCTATCGTGTCTATCGCTATTGCTTGCTCCCCTTTTCCATGCTTACCGAAACCCAAACACCTATGCCTACGCCCACTCAATTCCTGACCAACAAGCTGCGGCCAGTCATCTCCTCGGGAATTGGCAGGCCCATGGCGGCAAGCACAGTAGGGGCAACATCACCGAGGACACCCTCCTCCTTCTTCAGACTCCAGCCCTCGGGGGCGTTGGCCATGATGAAGGGCACCTTGTTGGTGGTGTGAGACGTCTTGGGCTTGCCGTCGGGGAACTTCATCTCCTCGGCGTTGCCGTGGTCGGACGTGATGAAGAGAATGTAGCCGTTCTTCTTGCATCCCTCATAGATCTTGCCAATGGCCTTGTCCGTGGCCGCGCAGCCAACGATGGCAGCCTCGTACACACCAGTGTGACCAACCATGTCGGGAGGAGCAAAGTTGTTCATGACGAAGGGGAACTCGCCCTCACCAAGACGCTTGACAACCTGCTCGGCGACACCGTCGGCGCTCATCTCGGGAGCCTGGTCGTAAGTGGCGACGCTCTTGTTGGAGGGCACAAGATCCTGGCTCTCGTCACGGACCTCGAGAGGGAACACCTTCTCAACACCACCGTTGAAAAAGAAGGTGACGTGGGCATACTTCTCCGTCTCGGCAACGTGAACCTGCTTGACGCCCTGCTTGCCCAACCACTCAGCAAGCACATTGCCCATGTGCTGGGGCTTGAAAGCAACCTCGAAGGGGTAGTCGACCTTGTACTGGGTCATGGTGACCAAGTTGATCTTGGGGTAGGGGAAATCCGGGAGGACTGACCGGTCGACGTCGCCCAAAACCTGCGTGATTTGGCGGACACGATCGGAGCGGTAGTTGAAGAAGAAGACGTTATCACCATCTAAGAGATGTCAGCACTGCTTTTAAGGCAATGACCGGAATGTCACACACCCTTGATGCGAGACTCCTGGCCACCAACAATGATGGGCTTGAGAAACTCGTCGTTCTCGCCCTTGTCATAACGCTCCTTGATGGTCTTGACCGGGTCGGTGCTCTCCTCGCCTTCGCCGAGGACAAGGCCCTTGAGAGCGATCTCGACACGTTCCCATCTCTTGTCACGGTCCATGGCATAGTATCTGCCGACAATGGTGGCAATCTCACCAATACCAAGCTCCTTGATCTTGGCGAGCAGTTCTTCCAGGTAACCGGCACCGGACTTGGGGTCGGTGTCACGGCCATCACCAAAGAAGTGGATGTAGACCTTGGGGATGCCATACTGCTTGGCAGCCTCGAGGAGAGCATAAAGATGGGTTTGCTTGGCGTGCTGTTATCGTGAACAAAACGTCAGCGGATATCCCCCAACATACACCGGCAGCTCCGGCAACCCGGTCAGCACCTACCACACCACCATGCGAGACCAAACCGCACAAGTGAAGACGGCCATTGCTGTTCTTGGCCGCCTCCATAACCTTCTTGATCACATCGTTCTCGGCGAGCTTGCCCTGCTTGATCGTTTGGTCGATGCGGACGACATCCTGCCAGACGACACGGCCGGCGCCAATGTTGAGATGGCCAACTTCGGAGTTGCCCATCAGCCCCTCAGGGAGGCCGACAGCGAGGGAGGAGGCATCGAGCTCGGTGAATCCGGTGGCGCTCCTGGAGAACTCGTCCATGACGGGGGTTTCGGCGGCAGCAATAGCATCGCCATTCTTGGGAGACTCCTCCGAGGGGATACCCCAGCCGTCAATCACGACTGTAATACGAACGAACCAACATCATAATCAGCCATCCCAGCTCCAGATAGATCAGGATATAGCCCAGCACGAGCGGGAGATCGGGGCGGCGAGGAGACGTACTCAGGCAAGCCTTGTGATCGGGAGCCATGTTTTACTTTTTGGAAGCTTTGTAGCTAGGTGGGTTCTTCGTAGGTGTAGGGTTCGGGTTTAACTGGAGGGCGGCTCAATGACACCACGACTTCTTGAGGAATTGTAGGATTTAAATTGACAACCTGGAAGATGCGGGATAAAACCTCAGATGATCAGGATCTTTTCAGCCAAAAGAAAAAAAAGATTCCAAGCTTGGTTCAGCGCAAAAGGAACTTGTTGGGAAGGCCGATGGCGGGGTAGTTAGTCCCTCAGCGTCTCTCTCTCGTCCCACCCCCACCTGACGTCGATGTCCGTTTGAACCCACCGAAGCGTCATAGCGTCCCTTTTTGACAGCCGTCCGACCACTCACAACTGTCAATTTGAACACCTTCCCCCACGGCGCCGCACGGGTTCCGGCGCCAGGAACGCGTACCCCACACCCGTGGACTTTGACATCGCGATTGCAATCGTTATCGCGAAGCACCTTGCGAGAGCATCACTTTTTGCGCCCACTTTCAGAGACCACTTCACCGACAACCACCGCACGCGGGGAACCATCCTGCTGATCATTCAACCAACCCTCAACCTTAACGCCTGAATCGATG